ATGGTCATGCGTCCTTTTGTGTCCTATTGTCATGCGTGACCTCAGAACGTAACGAAAGCTGTCTTTGCGTTCTCGCGTGTCAGCCCTTGAAGTTCACGCGTCTTGGTCCGTTCTGCCTTCGCTCCCTGGCCTGTCGCTTCCTTTGTTCTGTTGCTCTCAGGACGGCCAGAGTGACGACTCGCGTGCTGGGCCATCTTAGCAGAAATAACATCAGGGGGACCAAGCATGCTACTTGGGGTCTCTTTCGGAAATCAGTATCCCACTTTCAAGTGACGCACTTCATTGCAATTCCTACCCTAGGCGGCGTGACCCTACAACTAACCCTTGAGTAGCTACCCACCGCCAAATCAATAATCCTCACCGCGGATAATTCATGCACTTTCCTCGTAGGCCTAGGTTTATAGCAGACCCCAGCTACGTCGTTGATGCTCGAACGCAAAGTCTGTCACTATGTACGCGTCAAATGGTCCCTTTTCCATATCGCTACACGACCTCCACTACATACACGTCACTAGAAAATACGACGTCCTGTCTATTGCAAACGCTCAACTCCGTGGATACTTCATATCCTTCTCAGGACACGTTGTATGCTCGAATGGGCCTATCCGACGCACTGGCCGGGCACAACTCATGATTAACATAGGTAACAACACGTCGAATTGGGTCTAGTAGTAATGGTGCAGTCCTCTCGCAAACAAATAATGATAGAAACAACCCAATCTGCCTTATAGACAAGACTGCTTCAAATCTCGACGCAACTAACCTACAGTTTGTAGGGAGTTAGTTGCGAATTCAGAAATTATTAATCAGCTGGCGTTTTGTCCCTCGTCCTGAACCTGGAACGCTCAAGTACTTCTTTCTATCTAAGATACGAAGACAGACATTTGTGCAAGAATTCAACTTTGAAAAACTATGATGGAAGCCCATTTTCGTTTGCCCCGTATTTAATTGTTTAATTCACTTTATTGAATTTAGTTTTTTTGTGGGCAGTTTATAGGCAAGGTCAAAAGGAACACACAGTAGGTGATCGAAATGGCAGTGGAAAAAACTCCTCAAAATTATTACTATTGTTTACAAGTAACCACGACTTTTCAAGGAGGAAAACTGCAGCTCATTGAATGCTAGTATTTCGGGG